GAGGTCATGACCTGAGCTGAAATCAAGTCTGATGCTTAAATGACTGAGCCACCGATGAGCCCCCCTAATATAATTTATTTAAAGTGAATTTTGAAGGATGTCATTTGTTATATTGGGTAAGGCTAAATATTACCAAGGATTTTATTAAACATAAATTTTACAATATATTTGATAAAATAAAGGTTTTAACTTCAAATAATGTCTTTATCATAAATCATTATAAAGTGATTTTCTAAAGTATTAAGGCTTCTCAAAAACTATTTAGAAGTTGTTTTTTTTTTATTAGGAAATACTAAACTGCAGAGATGGAGAGCTTTTCCTCTTATTTTACAGTTGAGAAAACGGAGGCTCAGAAAAAATGAACTATTTGTTCAAAGGCCAAAAATTAACAGATGGCAGATTCTAGATTTAAATTCAAGATGATCTGATTCTAAAATTCATGCTCTTAATCACAAATGCCAATGTGTGGCTTAGACAGTAGTAGGGGGACCTAGGGGAGGGGGAGTCTGAGTGACATTTCAAAGACAAAATTCATAGGCAATGCTGATGGCTCAGAGAAATGAAAGTTTTGATGAGTAAGGGTTCTCTTCTAGCTGAGAAATTTAGGAAAATAGTGTTGCTACCATAAAATACCATAACAATAGAAAAATAAATAAATAAACAAGATAGGAATTTCATTTAGGGAAAAAGGTGCTGAGATTGATTGTGGCCTTGCTAAGTCAAAAGTAGCATTAAGACTTATGGGTAGGGGCGCCTGGGTGGCTCAGTCGTTAAACGTCTGCCTTCGGCTCAGGCCATGATCCCAGGGTCCTGGGATCGAGCCCTGCATCAGGGTCCCTGCTCAGTGGAAAGCCTGCTTCTCCCTCTCCCTCTGCCTGCTGCTTGTGTTCCTTCTCCCATTGTCTCTGTCAAATAAATATAAAATACAATCTTTAAAAAAAAAAAAAAAAAAGACTTACAGGTAGAGCTGTCCTATAAAGCATTTGAAAATACAGGACTTAGATTCTGTTGAAAGTCAGTGCTGAAAATGTAGATTCAGGATCCATCAACTAAGGGTAGTGGTTGAAACCAGAACAGGTGAAAAAGAATGAGAAGAGAATGAGAATCTGGAGACATGACCTAAAAACAGTAACATGATCTAAACCTCAAGGAAGGCCCCCACTTGTGGGCTTAAGGAGGGAAAAATGTGAGCCAAGAAAATAAAGAAACAAACAAATAAGTTAACAAAAAGTTAAAGGAGGACCGGGAACAACCTAGAATCATGAAAGCCAAGAAATAATAAACGTGGCTAAAATTTATTGAGCACTTACCGTGGATCAAATTTGCGTTGTGTATTTCACATACATTATCTTATTTAATCTTTATAGTAACTCAAGGAGGTAGGTCTGTAGATCTTTATTGATAGATGAAGACACAGAGGCTTTGCAAAATTAAGCCAATATGCCTGTCACTCAGCTGGCAAGTCCTAGGGCAAAAACTGGAATGTGTGTTTCCAGCCTCCAGGGTCCATTTTCCAACCAGTAGTCTCTAGAGTGTACAAGGCAAACCACTGTGGTGTGGGAAGAAAATGTTAAAATTGCAATTATTATAGCTCTTCTTCTTTAAATTGCATTTTTGTGTATGTTTTACAACAAGCATCCTATATTAGTATGGTGAATGTGCATATTTTCTAAATTAATAAGTATATATTTATTGGGGCATATGCTCAGTAAATTTACTAATGTAAGGATGCAAAAAATACTGGAATCATTTCTTTATTATTATTTTTTTGAATCATTTCTTTAAACTGCTATACAAAACCACCTTTTTGTCTTGTCCCATCTTCAACAAGAAACTACATTCACTTTCTATGGCCATGCTGTCTTTTAAATGCAATACTAGTTCTAATTGAGTTAAATAAGAACTGTTTTCTTTTCAAGTTATTCCTTGGTATTTTCAGAAATTTGTGAAAGCTTTTGGGTTTAATTGGTTCTTTGTAATAGTAAAAGGAGCACAGGCTTTAGACCAGACAGATATCTGCTTTGACCTTTCTGACCATGTGACCTCAGACAAATACCTCATTTCTCAGAGCCAGGTTTGTTCATCTGTAAACTGGAGATAATATGTACCTGGCAGAGTACTGCAAAGTTTAGCAATATCGTATGAAAATAACTTAGCACTGGGCCTGGCATACAGTGGATACTTTCAGATTTTATTTATTTGAGGTGGGGGCGCACACGTGGTGAGAGGGGATGAGGAAGGGCAGAGGGAGAGGGAGAAAGAGAATCTGGAGCAGACTCTGCACTGAGCCCAGAGCCCCATGCAGGGCTCAGTCTCATGACCCTCAGATCATGACCTGAGCCGAAATCAAGAGTCGATTGCTTAACCAACTGAGCCACCCAGGGGCCCCTACAAGCAATACTTTAAAAGAACAGCAAAAAGTAATAATAGGAGCAGTTCACTGTAGAGAATATCTATAGTTCAATCATCATGTCCCCTCTAAAATCCAGTCACATATACCTTTGGCAAAGTTTTGCCTATACTGTCCTTAATTTAACCTGGGTACTTGTTTGAACATAGACAAAAAGGATTTTCCAGAAATATGGAGGCCACTGCATACAGCTGTGCAGGTTGCGGAATGCCATTTATATGAGCTACAGGCATACCTTGGATATATTGTGGGTTCAGGTCCAGACCACTGCAATAAAGCAAATATCACAATAAAGCAAGTCAGGTGAGAATTTTGGTTTCCCAGTGTAAATAAAAGTTAATGTTTACACCATACTGTAGTCAAAGTGTGCAATGGCATTATGCCTTAAAAAAAAATACCTTAATTTTAAAATATTTTATTGCGGGGTGCTTGGGTGGCTCAGTCGGTTAGGCAGCTGCCTTTGGCTCAGGTCATGACCCAGGGTCCTGGGATCGAGCCTCGCATCAGGGTCCTGGAGTCCTGGGATCAAGCCCCGCATCAGGTTCCTCTGATGGATCTGGGCAAAATCAACTGAAAACCTTTTGGAAAGGATTCACCATCCTAGATGCTATTAAGAAACAAATAATACATTATATGTTTAGAAAAAAAGATAATAGGAAGATAAAAACAAAGGGGGGGAAATGGGAGGGGGAGACGAACCATGAGAGACTATGGACTCTGAGAAACAAACTGAGGGTTCTAGAGGGGAGAGGGGTGGGGGGATGGGTTAGCCTGGTAATGGGTATTAAAGAGGGCACGTACTTCATGGAGCACTGGGTGTTATATGCAAACAGTGAATCATGGAACACTACATCAAAAACTAATGATGTAACGTATGGTGATTAACATAACATAACAAAATTAAATTAAAAAAAAAGTCACCCACTTAATCTCTTTCCTTCCCAGCTTTTTGAATTTATTTTCATAATGGGCTGATTCTAACACTAATCTTATATACATACTTTAGTAAAAATGTTAATCTTTAAAAAAAAAAACATTTGTGATTCGTGGAAAGAGGTCAAAATATCAACATTAACAGGAGTTTGGAAGTTGATTGCATCCCTCCTGGATGACCTTGAGGGGTTCAAGACTTCAGTGGAGGAAGTAGCTGCAGATGTGGTGGAAATAGCAAGAGAACTAGAATTAAAGTGGGCTCTGAATATATGACTGAATTGCTGTATCTCATGATAAAACTTTAAGGAGGTGATTCCTATGGATGAGCAAAGCAGGTGGTTTCTTGAGATGGAATCTACTCCTGGTGAAGATGTTGTTTGATAGCACTTTACCCACAGTAGAACTTCTTTCAGAATTGGAGTCATTCCTCTGAAACCGTTCTGCTGCTTTACCAACTATGTTTATGTACCATTTTAAGTCCTCTGTTGTCATTTCGACACCCTTCACAGCATCAATTGACTTTGCCCAGATCCATCAGAGGAATCACTACCTATGGCAGCTATCGCCTTACAAAATGTATTTCTTAACTAGTAAGACTTGAAAGTTGAAATTACTATGTGGTGCATGGGCTGCAGAATCAATGTTGTGTTAGCAGGCCATGAAAGCAATGTTAATGTCACTGTCCATTTCCATCAGAGCTCATGGGTAATCAGGTGCATTGTTAATGAGCAATAATATTTTGAAAGGCATCTTTTTTCTGAGCAACAGGTCTCAACAGTAGGCTTAAAATACTCAATAAACCATGTTTTAAACAGATGTGCCATCATCCAGGCTTTGCTGTTCCATTTTTAGAGCATAGGCAGAGTGGATTTAGCATAGTTCTTAAGGGCCCTAGAATTTTCAGGATGGTAAATGAGCATTGGCTTCAACTTAAAGTCACCAGGTGCATTAGCTCCTAAAAACAGAGTAAGCCTGTCTTTGAGGCTTTGAAGCCATGCACTGACTTCTCTGTATCTGAGAAAGACCTAGATGGCATCTTCTTCCAGGACAAGACTGTTTCGTCTGTACTGAAAATCTGTTGTTTCGTGTAAGCTACAGCATTAATTATCTTACCTAAATAACTTGCTAGATAACTTGCTGCAGCTTCTCCCTCAGCACTTGCTGCTTCACCTTTGCACTTCCATGTTACGAGAAGCCTTCTTTCCTCAAGCCCCATGAACTTACCTCTGCTAGCTTCAGACTTTCCTTCTGCAGCTTCCTCACCTCTCTCAGCCTTCCTAGAATTGAAGAGAGTTAGGGCCTTGCTCTGGTTTAGGCTTTGGCTTTGGCTTAACGGAGTGTTGTAGCTGGTTTGATCTTCTCTCCATAACTTTCTCCGTATCAGCAACTAGCCCGTTTCACTTTCACTTTCTTATCATTTACGTGTCCCTGGAGTAGCACTTTTAATTTCCTTCAAGAACTTCAAGCTATGCCTTGATAAGAGTAATGGCTCCCCCTATTCTTGTACAGAGCAGTATCCCTAGAAATATCCTGGCAAAGGCATAGAGGGCCAAAGATACGGCATCCTCAACAGAATTAAAAGAGACGAATGCCACTGCCCACACTTGCATTGGTTGGTGTGTTAAATGCTTGTCTGCTTATTTGATGTTCTTCGCAGATCTGTACTCCCGACTTGGTGGTATTCTTGGCTTGTGCCAATCAGAGGCTCAAAGAAAGATTACTGAAGCGCGCAGAGCAACAGGGACGGCCTGACGACAATCTGAAAGCTACCCAAAGGAGACTAATGAACTTCAAGCAGAATGCTGCTCCATTGGTCAAATACTTCCAGGAAAAGGGGCTCATCATGACAGTAAGTTAGCTATACTTTTACATGTCCAGTATAAGAACAATCTTTCAGATTTCTAATTCACCTGTTCTCATTTAGAAACCCTCTTTACTTTTAAAAAAAAAAAAAAAGTGTCTTTTCTTGGGTTTTAGATCCAATGGGAAAAAAATTGATAATTTTTACCTGCTTTGCCTTGATTAAGTCATTATGATAAAAATACTTTCAGTTTAGTTTAATTTTATAAAAAATGATAAATTTTAACCTTGGCTAGAATTCTATAGTCCCCCCCCAAAAAAGTATTTTTAAATAATTAGTTGGATAATCTTTAGTACTTGCCCAGTTTCTCAACTCTTCTGTCTTTGGAAACCTAATAAAATTGATAGGCTTAAAAACACATAGTTGATAGAGTGTTCTATTAGACTTACATTGTAAGTCCGGTTTTATCACAAAGTACCACGTAAAGAAATGAGATCCTGATGGCACAAAAAAGTTTCCTAAGGGTTTGACTTGCTTAAAGAAGTAATAGTGTCTGAAAATGGAAGGCATTGATCTTTCTGCTCCATTAACACAATGCTAGTATTTTCATAATTTGTTTTATGGTTAATGATACTCAATGTACCAACGAAAGATGAGACTGAATCATTATTTAATACAGTTATTAGAATACAGGAAGTTAGAGGTAAAGATTCAGCTAAATTATGATCCCATAACATCAAAAATTCAAGTATTAGAGGAGACAAAGGAATCACTGACCATCTGATGAAAACATTTTATGGAGGAAGACACCAACATCAGAGTAACTCCATGATAGCAGGATGGTGGCAGAGCTCAGCAGAACCTTCCCCCCAGCCCTTGGGTTTTTCTCACCAGACCAGAGAGTCTTGTCTAGTGAGGTTACAATGCCTGGTAGACAATCTGATGAAAATAATTCATGCCTTTCTTAATAAAATTCACATAAGATTTTTTTTTTTTACAAATTTTAGGTAAATCTACTGAAGCTCATCCACAGAGCCCCTATGACCTAGCAATTACTGGGTAAAAAAATCTCTTCATTAGACTAAGATGCCCTTAGATCTGAGACAGTCACGACACTTGAATAATAATCTCTCTGCAGTCTTTTTAGCACTCTAAAGAAATATTTATTCGAATTTGCTCCTTGAGTCAAAGTTGTCATGTCAGAGAATTGTAAATCTGATCTGAAAATTGTTCACAGTGCCACAGTTCATTTTATGGTCTAAAAGAGACATTGAAAATAGGAAAGATTCAAGAAAGTCAGGGTGGATGTTTCTCTGGCTAATTTTGTTGGGATTGTTCCCTGTTTGTCTTGCAAATTACCAATGCTTCTGCACTGTGTCATGAAAAAAGAAATTTACCCTACAGACGAAACTGCCAACTGCAAAGTGCAGAGCCAGAGTTTTAATTGATGTTTGCAAGGCTTAAAGGTATTGCCAGAGTGTCTCTGATTACTCCCTGCCTGTCACGTTCGTCATCACAAGCAGAGCAGATTTCCCAAATGAATGCAGAGTGGGGATTGTTAATTTACTAATATTTTGCATGGAGGTGAAATGCCATTGACTGTAATTGAGGGAGTCAATAACAATGTGGATGACAGCCTGTAACCTCACTGCTAAAACCAAATAAGCTTTAAGATAAACACCTCTTATTACTGGGAGACTTGCCTTGGAAAGTCACCTTTTGAAAAGTGGTGAACACAAACACAGGCTAGGCTCTGGGGAATAGAATTAGAAAATTTTGTCCATCAAAGGAGCAAATACTGCATCCTGAATCACATGTACTCCTTCAGAACGTGGATCATAGTTTGATTTTGGAATTAAAATATATCCGATAGCATTTCTGCTTTTAAAGACGAGTTAAATAATAAAACGATCATCCTTATTAATCACAAAACATATTAAGATTTTAATTTAAAAACTGGGAGTTAACAGATCAAACCCCTCTGTAGTTTTTTTCTGTTGCTTCTCCCTGCCCCTCTTAATTGATTCATTTATTCATTTAGTAAATATTTATTGAGGATCCCTGGGTGCCAGACATTCTCCTAGGTGCTAGGGATGCAAATCTAAATAAGCAAAAGGTAAGGATCTTTATTTTATTCCCTTACATATTACAAATTCCTAGAACAGTACCTGCCTGGTACATAGTGTGCTCCCAGTAAATGAATAAAGCTTACAGTCTATGGGGAGAGAGATACTAAACAATGAGTTATTAAAGGTGGTAACTGTCGCAAAGGAGAATGTACAAGGCATCCTCACATATGTCATGCACTGTGTTAGGAATTGACTAGAACAGACTCTTCTCACCCACAAGTAAGATTAATCATTTATCTTGGTGTGAGGTTCTTAAAGACCACGGAGACCACATCCCTCTTCAGTCCAGTTGAGAAACTTCATCTTGGTGCTTCTCTTCCCTAGGGCTTTGGAGTCTGAAACTCTCACTTGAAATCTTATGCTCCAATGCCATTTAATAAATTCATGATGCTCTGGGACTTGGTCTCCATCTATAAATTGGAGATGACGTTACCTACCACGTAATGTTGTTGTATGGGTGAAATGAGAGAATGTGTGTTGCATGGCAGACAGTAGCAATGCAGAGGCCATGTTTAGGGTGCACCATGCAGCCCCACTGCCTGGCTCAGATTCCAGCTGCGCCACCTACCGCCTGCATCACCCCCTGCGGGCTACTCATCTCTGTGACTCAGCTGCCTGACCTGGGAAATGGGTATAATCATCCATCCTACCTCAGTGTAATTATAAGGAGTAAATGGATACCATAACAATGCCTGGAATGTTGTAAGGCCAATTTAAGTGATTGATATTGTTTTATAATTCTTGTGTTTCTTTCTGTCTCTTCCCTTCCCCTCCCAACCCATCTTTTGGAACCTACAATTACCACTAACAATTCCGTGCTCTCTGAGGGCTCACTGTTGCCTTTTCTCACATAGATTATTGAGGAAATCCAAAATGAAGAATCTAGGTTTTAAAAACTTCATGCCAAATTCATTTTTTCTTTAAAAATGTCTGTTATCAATTTTTAAATTGTCCCAGTGTTTTTTCTTAACTTCTGTATTGGTTATCTAATCAAGCCATAAAATGGCTGCGTCTGAATACTGTGATTGGATTGCAGCAAACATCAACTCATTTTTTTTCTTTTTTACTTCATCATTCACTCTACCTATTGGCAGATTTGACTCAAGAACGAACCCAGTGTGACTGAAGAGAAAACCTAATCAAAATAGCCAGGAAAATATGCTGTTATCTGAATACTGTATCTTATTGACATGATTCCCATGACATGGACCTTTTCATTTTTATTCCTTTATTATACTTATCCATATCCAGCCATCTGTGCATGAATTAAATGCTATGAAATCACAAGGCTAGGATATTAGGGACTTCATAGAATCTTCTCAGACAAGTTTATATGTTGTTTTTTAACTTACAATAGGGTCGGATGTAATTGCTCATCATATCTTTTACAGTTTTTTGCTTCTAGTTAAGTTAGGTGCTGTGAGTTCCCCAAGTTTGTCAAGAGTTTTGTTTTGAAGTTTGTTTGAGTATTACTGGGACCAAGAAAGCTGCTTAGTTAGTCTTACAGAGTAAGCTCTGTTTCGTGACATTTTGAAGCACTGCGACTTGATGAAACTATAGAACTCTTGAACTATCATTTCCCTTCTATAGGATCTTCAAAAGTCTCAGTAATATGTGTGTGTGTGTGTGTGTGTGTGTGTAATGATAATTTTTTATCTTTATTTTTAAAGCTTAAAGAAACCCCTAGTCTGTTTTAATCATCCTCCCTAAGTTGGATGAAACTTATTGAAGAAATGGTATTAGTTAAGACAGGTCAAACTTAAGTAAATTTGATGAACTATTTAAAAAATACACACAGTTTTGTTCGTTGTTTTAAGAAAAAGGTATTCTAAAATGATTGAAAAATAATAGGGTAAGATGTAATGTTTGTATTGTTATTTTCCAAAATGCACTGTGCTGTTGATCCAGCCAGGAAAACATGCCACTCACCAGGGAAAGGGTTACACACTTGTGTGCATTGAATAAATGCTACTCAATATAGATAATAATCATTACCACTGTTTGAAAGGCATATTTTTAGCACACACACAAAATATTAGGGATGATATGGTTACAAATAAAGTCTCTAAATAAATCTATTTGGCTTTAAGCAAAGCTCCCAATATTTGCCTTGTTTTTCTCATTTTGCAGTGGAGTAGGGAATACTTCATCACAGACTGGCTTCAGTGCTGGGGAACTGGCAGAGAGAACACATCCTTGTCAAAACCACAGTATTGTTAATTCACCAGATACGATCCCTGAGCCCCCCAGATAACCTCTTACGCCCTTGTATCACTTCCTTCAAATTTGAGAATACCCATATTATATATTTCAAATTCACCACTGAAACTGTGTAGTTCCCATCCCACCAGACACTCGTAGCCGAAGGGAAAATAAATAGGAATGGTAAAAGTTAATTTAGACAGAACTGAATAATTATTTGTCGATTAACTTAGTTTCATAGGAATCAACACTAACATTTAAACACAAGTACACTTACCTCTAAACTGCGAGTGCATAGCCATTCGTTAATTATCACAGTTTCCACTAACATCACCACACGGGGTGGGTGGAAAAGAAATCTAAACCGCACAAACCCTCAGCAGGTTTAGCAACTCACCTAAACATAAGAAAGACAATGAAGATACTTCATAACAATTTACCCAAACAAATCCATTCTCCTAAAATTATACTCAGAGGAAAATTCTGTCATTGCTTCTCAGTACTTGAGGTTGATGAATTTGTAAATAGGTAACATAATGAAGCTGTATTTCCTTTAAATAGCGTCACTTATTCTATCCTGTTTAAATATTCAGTGTCATGTAACGAAAAGGCCCGTTAATTCCTTTTGGGTGGGTTTAGTAAGACAGAATATAGTCAAGGAGTAGTGTTCAAAGGTTAATAAGAAAGGCTATAGTTGTATTCTGGCACATACTTACT